AATAATTTCAAAAAACTATGCTTTGTAACAAAGTAATTCCTTTCTTAAAACCATTATCAATATAAATTTGCTTGGTGGGCTAAACATATCTGTGTCATATTTGCCACTTTGGTAACACCATCTACCTTCTCTAAAATTTCAAAGTGATCTAAACCATGTCAATTTTCAGTTTACTCCTCCATTCCAGGGGAAAGCACCAGGTTGAAATGTGATGTACAATAAAACAGACAAATTACAAGCTAATTGACAGGTATTCTGCCTGAGGTAGTTAACTTGGTTGACTTCATCTATAAAAACTACTATTAACATCATTTCCCACTATTTTATAAGTAATCTAGACTATACTACTATGATAACTGAATATACTGCATTAAAAAAAAAAGACAACTAGGAAACAAAATATTCCTAAGACATTCATTTCTGCTTAAAAGGAAATTATTAATTTCTCCTGATAAAAAGACAAAATGGCATATGAAAGTACAATAAACATTAAAATTGACAGTGTAGTTTCAAGAATCTTCTAAAATCATTATGATTTATTCATATGTAAAATATAGTTGAGAAAATTTTTGCATTATTTATAGTCAAGTATAATTATGATGGAAATTTAAGCAATTACAGTTCAACAGTATGTAGCATTAACTTCTCTTTTCTTCTGATTCTTGTGCCAATTTCAGCTTTTCCTTTAATTTCTTCTGGTCTCTAGCATACTGTTCAAATATTGGTTGATAAATATATATTCCTCCGGCAATCCCAAGGATGCTGGCAAAAAGCAGTTGAGGAAAACTCACTCTCCCAAACATTTTTTCAGCAAATACCACACAATGCAAAAAGATGATTCTGCAAAATTATATTCAACATCCAGTAATTTTCTTGAGACCTGTATACAAAAAAAAAAAGGGAAGCAAAAGCAGTAGCTCAGCAACTATTCTTTCTGTAAGATTTCATGTCACTACTTTGCTCCACAATGAACAATATTTGTAGCAGTCATGAGAACAGCACTTACTGTTTTAACTAAAATAGCAATGTAACTTATATAGGGTATATGGGAAATTAGGGTTAGGGAACACAAGACAAGCTAAATCTTCCTCCCATAGAATGGTCTCAATGATTTTAAATGATAATTTTTAAAAGTGCAAAAGTCAGGAGGGAGAAGCATACTCTTTAATCCTTTAAAGAAGAACAATAAAGCCACTTACAAAATTAATTGAGAGTGTCTGCCAGTAAAATACGGAAGTAGAAGAAAAGGAATTATTTTATTAGTGCCTTTGTACTAATGTGTTTGGCAATACATAGATGATAAAATTTTTTTTTTGAAGCAAGCTAAAAGATTTTGAGTTCCTTTGATAACACACAAGGTACAATTAGACATTAAATATAATTTGCCATCTATTTTTGGCGTAACTATAATGGGGATTTGGGCTGGTTTTAATTGAATACTTAAAACATTAGTACTTCGGGCCCTCCCTGGTGGCTAAATGGGTTAGGACACAGCACTGCAAGCTAGTACCAGCCGCTCCATCCCGGGCTGCCCCGGAGGTGACCCGCGTGTCTTGGCAGAGCCCTCCTGACCCATGCACTGCTCCCCTCAGCAGTGTATTTTGTCAGTTTTCCTATTCTGCTCCCCCCTCTGTCGCTGGTGAATCCTCTCACCCACCACACCTCTGGCCTGTACCCCAGTTCTGTAAGCATAAATAAATACATCTTTAAAAAAACAAAAAATCTAATACTTCTCAGAGCTATACTCCTTTCCAACACCTAGTCTGGAAAAACTAGGTAGATGTTTATGAATGAGGTAAACAGAGTCAAAGATTTACACTTTCTTCATTATAATATTTCATAGCTTTTCAGATCAGACGGAGATCACAGAAAAACGTCAGTGGCACAACTCGTACTAGAAACTAGCTTGTCCTCCTTTAACAGCGCTCAAATATAACTTAAAGTACTATGGGGAAGGAAAGGCTGTTTTCTCCTGCATTCTAGGGCTAACCAGCTAAACTACAATTTCACCAAACAAGACTTGGTTCAACTATTGTTAGGTTTCTGTGTTTTCATTTAAAAAGAAAAAAGAGGCCTCGCTGGTGGTGCAAGGGGTTAAGTCTCAGCACTGTGAAGCTCTCCGCAGCTGCTGCTTCAGGGGTTTGATCCCCAGTCAGGGCAGTGACCCACAAGGGCGGCAGACCTTACAGGTCCACAAGCTGCTCCCCTCAGCAGTGTAATTCGGTGAACTCGCCTGTCAGCTCCCCATTCTTTCTTTTTTTGGGGGGGGGGGGCAGGGAAAGCAAGATTTATTTCATTTGTTAACTGGCAGCTCACCCTGGGTTATAGTTTTATAAAATTATTATTTTTTAAAGATTTATTTATTCGTGCATACAGAACTGGGGTAATAGGCCAGAGGTGCAGGGGCGGTGAGAGGGTTCAAGAGACAGAATGGGGTCAGCTCCCCATTCTTTCTGGTGAATTCTCTCACTACCCCCGACCCCTCCCCCACCTCTGGCCTAAACCCACAGTCCTAGTGCACATAAATAAAATCTTTTTTGTAAAAAGGAAAAACGGAGCTATATGCAAGTCAGTTCTTGGGGAACATGAATAAAAAGCACAGGGAAATAGGAAGTTTCCTTTTCTGCTCACAACCAAATAGTTAAGAATTAATCTTTTGGAACCTCACTTTTGTACAACAGGCCACAGTTACAGTGAGAGCACCCAAACGGTGACCTGTTACGCGCATTTATAATTACCACGATCAGTGTTTATCTCTGGGACCCTTTCGCGGCGCAGCCGACGCCGCCTCCTGGCTGTAGGGCGGAGGTAAAACCCGGCTCCCCGCTACAGTTTCCAGACTCCTGGGCTCAGAGACAACGCAGTCAAAGGCTGGCGGCAGTCCCCCCTAAAGGAAACGCTAAGGGAAAAGAATAGGGGACACCCTAGCAAAAGCGTATTGGCGCGGTTAACCCCACAGCCCGCGGCCGAGGAGACAATTTTAGGGCCCTTTCCCGGCTACCTCAGCGCCCGCGCGCAACGGCTGCTCGCACAGGCCAAACTTCGAAGCGGAAGCGCGGCCGCGGTTCTTTAGCTTCGCGGTTCTTTAGGTTCTTGTTAGGGACCCAACTGCGGAGAACCTTTGCGACCTCCGAGCAGATGCTGGATGGAGCGAGATGGCAACCTCTTTTTCCGCGGTCTGCAGAGCCGCTCCAACGAGAAAATGAGGCTGCGAAAGAGAAAGTCGACCTTATACCACAGCTCCCAGAGGAACACCTGGCACCGCGGAGGTGAGGGAAGCGGAGTACTCAAGCAGGGCTCCCTGTGTGGGGTGAGGGTGTGCAGGGAGGTGGGGGTACGTAGGAGGGGGTGGGGGGGCAAGAAATTGCAGTGTACTTCTACAAGATTTCCATATCTGCCAGCTTAGCGGCGCTGTATTCTGCATTATTTTATGACATCCTCCCCGTAGCCTCCTAACGTGCCTGTAAGATAGGATTATTCCCGTTTTAGAGAGGGGGCATCCAGGCCAGGGGTTACTATGGCTTTGAAAGCATGAAGATCTGATTCCTGGAGTGGAACTAAACCTGATTCCCTCTCCGTTTTTTTTTTTTTAAGATTTATTTATTGGCTCAGGGGCAGCGAGAGGCTTCACCAGAGACAGAGTGGGGAGCAGAACAGGCAGATCTACCAAGTACACTGCTGAGGGGAGCAGCGGGCGGGTCAGGAGAGGTCTGCCACGCGGTCACCTCCTGGGCAGGTGGGAATCGAACTCATGCAGAAGTGGCTTTAGATTCTCAGTGCTGTGCTTTAACCCGCTGCGCCACCAGGGAGGGCCTCCTCTCCGTTTCTTTTTTCTGCTGCCATCTCTACCTTCTTTTTAGACTGGATTACAGCCCCCACAGAAAGTGGGGTTTTGATCTATTATGTATGTGTGTGGAGGGGTGTTAATATAAAGATGAACTCATTCAATCAATATTTCCCGAATTTTTGTCTGCCAGGCATGATGCAGGCTATTGAGAAAAAAAAAATTCCTAGTTCACCCTCTGGAAACCTGAGACCAAGTAAGGGAGAAGCATTTTGCTAAATAAAAAGTGAGGTAGGGGAGCTTTATGGTTCCCAACTCTAGTGACTGGATGCTAACGATGGTAGATTACAGTTGAACTTCCAGGTATTCAAGATCAGTTGTTCAAAGCTTAGTTCTGAGTACTGTTTCTTTTACTTTAATCCATAGCGGGGTAGGTGTGGGGCTGAGAACAAGATTTGCTGATGGTGATATAGTTCAGTAGGGAGGGTTCAGTATTCCTGGAAGATAAAAGCTCTGAAGGGGCACGCATGTTGTATTGAATGTACTAATTATCTGAGAAATACTTAAAATGTGTTCCTGAAGAATAAGGAAAAGTGTGGCAGGAACCCAGAAAAATAGCAAAAGACAGTAGATCAGAGGCTTGGTTGTTAACCGAAATACTCAAATCAGTCAGGCAAGACTAAGTCAAAACAACCCTGTATTTCAGTATTAGCCAGTTGTTTCCAATTGAACACTGATTTGCAGGTCCTAGTTTTGAAATACTGCAACATGTATTTTTTATTTGATTTTTAAATGTTGGCAACTAAATTTAAGTTTATAAGAAGTACTCTGTATTCAACCCTACAGGCTATCTAAATTTAGTTAAAAACAGACCTGTGGAGTCAGTAGACTGGCCTGGTTTTGAATGCTGAATTCCCACCTTTTTGGCTCAGGCTTGGTGATTTGAGTCTCTTTTGCCTCTGTATGTAAAATGGGGCTAATAATACTTATCCTTTAGCATTATTTTGAGCATTAAATAAGGTGATAATGTAAAGGAATGAATTCAATGCCTGGTATAGAGTTAGCATTAGTAAGAGCTATTCTCAGATGTACAGAGGAGCCCTTGTATGACTTTGGCCCAGGTGGGCTTTGAAGAGTAGTGTGACAGGACACAGTTCATTGTGTGTAACAGTGCCTGAGAGGGACAACTGAGACAGGAGATTTTAGTTCCAAGTGGGAATTTGTACCAGTTACCTGTTTTTTTTGTTTTGTTTTTCAGATCTTCTTGGTGAAAACATTTATCTGGTCTTGCTTACCATAGCACTACGAATATGTAACTGCTTTTTAGTCCAGACAAGTTTTGTCCCAGATGAATATTGGCAGTCTCTTGAAGTTGCACATCACATGGTTTTCAAATATCCTTTGTAGCTGTTCATATTAGGAATTTTGTTCATTTTATTACATATTTTCAATCAGTTAACCATATTTTCTCCAAATAATTTTAGAAAATTGTACCATTATTTTAATTTTTTTTTTTTTTTGATGTTAATGTACTTGACTCAGTCTCTTCACTAGTGCTTAGTACTTTGGAGGACATAGATGAAGACAAAACACATTTCTACCTTAAAGTTAAAAATGCACTTGGTCAAATATACAGCTTAAAATACTATTTTATACCACTTTGCCAAGAAATAAAATTTTTATATATAGAAATGAAAACAGATTTTGTTCAGTACTATTTAACATTAATCCTTAATGTTAGTACTTATGGTTATCTGACCTGGGAATGGACAGAAAAATTGAGGGGTTATACTTACCCTTTAATCTTTGCAAGCATTTACAAGGTTCTGCATCTTGTGGGGAAAGATAGTGTTAAATTGCTGGTAAGTTTTTTTTTTTTTAAATTATATATACCTTATTGTTCATTTTTCTTTTTTACAGTGTTTGCTCTTTTCTCAGGTATAGTCCCCTTAGAATTTCCACCACTGATTTACCTGCACATCATCACCATAGTCCCTTATGCTCCTCCTGCCCGTCTCAATCCCTTTGCCTCCCCCTCCCCTGCAGAATGTCTGCTCTATAGTTGTCTGTTTATTGTTTAGTTGAGTTGTGTTTTTGCTATTTTTTCCCTGCTCCTTTATTTTGTTCCCCTATATTCCTCCTGTAAGTGAAACCATCTTATATTTTTTTTCCTTCTTACTTATTTCACTGAACATAATCCCTTCAAGCTCCATCCTTGTTACTGCAAATAGCATTCCTTTATCTCTTTTGATTGCTAAATAGTATTCCACTGTATATATATCACATCTTTTTGATCCAGTCATCTACTTTTGGGCATTTGGGTTGTTGCCAACTCTTTCCTGTTACAAATAGTGCTGCAATAAATTTAGCAGTGCAGGTATCCTTTTGAATTAAAGTTTTTGTGTCATTTGGGTAGATCTCTAGGAGTAGAATAGCTGGGTCATAGGTAGCTCCATTTTTAGTATTCTGAAGAACCTCCACACAGCTTTCCATAGTGGTTGGATCAGTTTGCATGCCCACCAGCCATGTAGGAATTTGTTGTTGCTAGTTTTTTCAATATGTGCTACTCTTACTGGTGTAAGGTGGTATCCTCATTATGGTTTTGATCTGCATTTCCCTGATTATGATGGATATTGAACATTTTTCATATGTCTATGGGCATTTAATTGCTGTTAAGTTTAAATAAAATTAAGATAATTGCTAAAAGTAGATTTATCCCATCTCTTTTTAAAAGTTAATGTATATTAACTAAATATTATTGGTATCATGAAGTTTGTTTTTTAAAGATTACTGTTGCTAAGTGCTAACCTCTGAGAAGCCTTCAATCCCAAAGATAAACTGTAATGTGTAAATCTTCAATGTGTGTTAAAACATAAGCCTGCACATGAAAGAAAAGTATTCCATGTGTTAAGAAATATAAATTTTCACAATGGCTACATTATATATTAGTTATTCGGACTTTAAAGTATTTCGTCCACAAACAAAAAGAAGACAAAAAATATTTTCTTCATAAAAGAATCACTAGAGAGTTGTGTTGTGTCTTATTTTTACAACTTGTGAGTATAAGACCATGTTATATGATCTCATGAAGATAAAATACATATAAACCCCTGGATTTAGTGTTGAAATTAAAATTTAGGCAAAAGTAATTTGACAAAAATTTAATTACTGTGCTATGTAGTAATTATACATTAATGTTAAGTAGGGTTGTCATTCCTAAATTATTAATTTCTAAGAACCATGACTCACCTAGAGAGGATTTACAGAAAGAACTAAAAGTTCAGAAAAACTGCCCTCACTTTCAAAATATTATCTAAACAGACTCAGAGGTTTGGGACTTCATTATTTTCTGTTAGGGAAGTGTCCCAGAATCCCTAAAGAAGTGCAAATCCTGGTTTGTTGTTTTGTTTGTTTATTTGAGCCTGGGAGAGGCTTAAGATTCTGGGATAATTTTTCTAGATAGAATTGTAGTCTGTGAACACTATTTTCTCCTCTCAGGGCTAGCCAGTAGTTTCTATGTTATGCAAAATATCCATAAAGTCTCAATCCACGGGCAAATATACATAATGTCATCAAGGATTATCTTATATCCCAAGAAGTAGATTATATCATGAAGAATTCTTCCAGATAGAAAAATTTTCTATTCTTCCAAGATTTACCCACTGCCTTCAACCTACAGCTGATGGACCTGTCCATTTGTGATTTAAAGGAAACCTGTCCTGGTCCCCATTCTCTCTGTACCCCACTACCCCCACAAAACCTCTGTCCTGCCTGGAATTTGACCACATAGGAAAACATTAGGAGGCTATAGTCATTTATTCATGCTCTCATACTGATAATTATATACATAAATTATATAATTGTGAAACTAGAAGGGATCAGAAGAGTGAAATAAAAAATAAAAAATAAAAAAAGATGCCAAGCCAGAAAGAGAAAGAAAAATACCAGATGGTTTCACTCATAGCAGGAGTATAGTGGACCAGGCAAGAAAATAACAAGAATAATGAACAGCCATATACCAGAGACATTTTGTGGGGGTGGAGTGGGGAATGGGATCAAAAATGGGGGGGGGGGGAGGGAAGTGCATGGGATTATGGTGATGGCACAAGGGTGACTTGGTGATGGGAAACCCGTGGGGATTACATTGAGATGGAAAAAAAAATGTACAAAATGATGTAAAAATAAACTGTTTAAAAAAAAAAAAAACCAAGGATGCACAGCATGTTAAAGGCAGAACTAAAACTAGGTCCTGGGTCTACTTTTTTATTGCCTAGTGCTTTTTCTAAATAGTTTTTCTCTCAACTACATAAGGTATGTTAAAGAGTTAAGGATGGCTTGAGGTACACTGTCCAACAAAGTAGCCACCAGCCACTTGTGGCTATTGAATAATGAAATATGGCTAGTAAAATACACACTGGATATCAAAGATCTAACACAAGTTAAGAATGTAATTTTTTTCTATAAATTCTAATACTGAGATGACAATATCTTAGATTAAGTTAAAAAATTAAAATTTAACTTGTTGAGGATTTTTTTAGCTTTTTAATTTGGCTACTATAAAATTTTAAATTACATAAATGGCTTACATTATATATCTACGAGACAGGAAAAGAACAGTGTCAAATTTCTAAGACATTAAACGGGTAGTTCATTTGATTAGACTGCTAATTTTTTATATTCATTATGAACCAACACATGTTTTTATTATCTTCTCTTTTTTTTAAACTGATGAAGATTTGGATTCCTAGACTTGCCCAAGCTCTTCTGTCTGCTGTAGCAGACATAAGGCTTTACTCACTAATGAAGCAATCAGAGAATCAGCAATTGGCAAGATGGGTGGTAAGTCCTAACCATCACAAAACTATACACCAATTACTTTGTTCTGTGGGCATTGAAACATATGAAAAATATTAACTTTCAAAACAGCTTCAGAAGATAATTCATACAACTTTATAGAGATACTGCCATAAGAATAATAAAATGAAAGTGGTGCATGTTATCTTTCACCTTCTCATTGAGCCATAGGCAATAAAAAGCAGTGGTGATACCCTCGAACCCTATCAGAGGCTGAATTCTAAGACACAGCTTTTGGAAGCACCTTCTCTTCTCAAAACCATCAGAGTTCTTGCCTCACTTTCCATAAAATTCAGTAGTCATTGTTTCAATTGCCTACCTCCCAAATGATGTCAGCTGGTTTTAAGCCTTGTTCACTCTTCATAGCCTGAGAACCTTTGTGCCTCTGGCTAGAATATTAGAAGTAGCTGCTCTCTGTAAGAGAAAGTGAGGCACAGAAAATTATCTTTTACCTCTTTGCTTATTTCACAGTGGGTAGATTCCTGATCACCCATTCAGATCTTGAATGGATTTTCTCATCTAAGCCATATCCTGAAAAGTGATTGGATTCTGTAGTACTACAGTTACTGCACACTGACTCTTTCAGTAAAATAAACTTAAATGAGCCAGATTAGAAATCTTACCTGTTTTTATATTGTTTCAATTGGAAAATATTATAAATTCCAAACACCTAATTGCCAACACATTTTTGAAATATAATTTATTAATTAAATACTGACAATTTATTAACAGGACATTTCTGCAAGTATTTTTAAAAGTTAGTAACTTAAAGACTACGTCCTGCTTAACCGATTCAAAGTCAGTCCTCTGTTTTGTGTTTATATACACTGCTGAGAGCTAATACTAAAATGACAAAAGCATAATGCTTCTGAAATCCTCCCTGCAAGGTGGCAGTGCACACTAGGTTCTTCTAGTTTACAAAAAAGTCTTTTAACTCACAAAAATTCAGAACAATTTAAGGCTATATTTGGGAAGAGAACGCTAATACCACAGGCTTAATTAACACCCTTACATCAACTAGGAAGTTTCTTTTAAGACATTTGTTTTGTAGACTAAATGATGCTTTGTATGTCACTACAAAAACTGGTTTATTAATCTAGTTTTCTAAATTAAAAAATTAATGATACCTTCTGATAGTTACTTTTTTCTGTGTTCTTGCTTTTTTTTTATCCAAAATAGGACATTACAGTCAAAAGTCAAAAAAAAAAAAAAGTCATATAGTTGTCAGACAATTTGAGGAACACACTGGTTAGGAAAATTATGAATTCAGTTCACTAAAGCTCAAGCATCAAAAAGCCTATTCATTAAGAAGTGAATAAATGCTACTACAAAGTTATTTTGAAGATAATGCCCAGCTATAACCTATTTTTCCTCCAAATGTTTGAAAAATCATTGTAATATGATCAGTATCACCTTTATCATTAAAACTAAATCTGTATTTATTATTAATGAAAAGAAAAATTTAAGTGAAATGAAGTACCATTAAAAAATACCTGAACGGTATTGAGCTACTTAATTTTAACAAATAATCTTATAACTTCTTATAAACAATATTTGAGCATGCCTACTTTTATCATTTACCTTTTGGTGGGAGTTTAGCAATAACTAAACTTGGTTGCTGTTTTCCATCGAAGGTTATATTAAACCTTTCCCCTTCTCACTCCATCTGTATGTTTGCTTATAAATGTTTTTAGTTTTTTTGCCAGTTATGCTCTTGGTTCACATGGTATTGCTGTACCAGAACTCTTACAAACACCATGGAAACTGTTCTCACTATAATTGCTCTTTTCTACTACCCTTTGGAAGGTTCCAAGTCTATGAGCAGGTGAGTTTAATTACTGTTAATAACAATGTATAAAACTTGAAAGCATGCCTGTGAAAAATAAATATTAACACATTGGTATCACCTCTGCCTGACGTTCATTCTGGTCCAAAGTTTCAGTTGACATATTTATTTTAGCAGTAAACAGATAATATCAAACTGGGTTATTTAGGAGAGTTTAATAAAAGAACTGTATACAAAGGTATAGACAATTTTTAGAAAAGCCAATTACACCAAAGCTTGCCACAACAGTTTTCATTACCCTTTCAAGCATGGAGAAGAAATATAGAGCTATAATTTTAACAGAGGGTCTCCGTAGGACTGGGCCCTTAGCTACAGGAGAGAGAGCACTAAGGAAATAAGATACTGTGACTCAAAGCTTCTGCCCTCCAGTGAGCCACAGCCAATCATAAGCCAGAAAGTGGTATAGTACATTGATACCATAGAGTTCAGCCTTCCTACACAGGTGAACAGCAGAGAAGAACAGGTGAAGAGTGGAGAAAAATCTAAAAAGGCAAAATGGAAATATATGGAGCTGATTTGGGTTTGTATAAACTGGGGAAGCAAATACCAAGCAAAGGGCTTCAGTGTATTCTGTGCACAGAATACAAGCTACCACAGTAGCTAGTGTATGGTAGCATACATATGAGAAGAAAAGGGATCAGGAATAGGACTTTGCCCGTCTTCAGAATCTGTACTTTATAGATGCTAAGGAACCACTGGAGGCTTCTGAGAAGCATGGCATAATCAAATCTGATTTAAAAGATTCACTTGTAATAGCAGTATTTAGGATACTCTAAATGGGAGAAAATCAAAATAATTTGGAGTGAAGAAAGCTACTATATGCCCTTCATATTAAAAAACATTTAAGAACCAAATAAAGGGCCTCCCTGGTGGCCTAAGGGTTAAGTCTCAATGCTGTCATCACTGCAACCCCAGTTCCATCCCTGGCCAGGGAGCTGACCCACAGATAGTACAGCAGACCTCTGCTGTCTCACCAGCTGTGCCCCTTAGCAGTGTATTTCATTAGTTTCATCTGTTCTGCTAACCACTCTGTCTTGGTGAATCCTCTCACCACCACCCCCCTTCACCCCACACCTCTGGCCTGCATTCCAGTTCTTCTATGCATAAATAAATCTTAAAAAAAAAAAATAAGATCGTATCTACCTTATATTCTTGGCTATAAAACTAGGCATTTTTAATTTTCTATACAATAAGGACTTTATTATAAGGGTAAAAGTAGAAATAAGGAAAATGGGCATTTCAGCCTTGTGGCTAGGTCTGAGAGAAAACTGAGTATTTCAGCTATACAAATAAATTGGAAGATTTTGCAGAATCCAAGAGTTTTGAGAAATGGGTTGTTTTGTACATTTATAGTCAGGTCTGTGAATCCTGTTTTAGTCATTATTATTTTGAGAGTGCCAATTGTCCAACTTTTTCTGTACCTCATGTTCAATTTTAGATAATCTGATAGGTCTGTTGAATGCCACTGTCCCTATTTGGAGTAGCTTTCACACTGACCAGCTGTATATTGCCTACCAGAGCTCAGATACCTTCCCCTAATTCAGAAAAGGAAGGTCATATGGGACAAACACCACCTCTATAAGTATTCTTCTCTAGATTTCCACATAAGCACTATTCCTTATCTGACAATAAATGACACTTTCCAAATTCAAAAACAAAAACAAAATGAATTACAAATTAAACATGTAAGGATGGTATGAAAATATCTAAGTACTGATTTCTTTAAATGAGAATAGTAAGGCCATTATCATAAGAATTAGAATCTATGTAAAGTGTGAAACACAGAACTAATTACACAATTAAGTGCTCAGTAAATAGTGATGACGACAATGATGTTGCCGCTAAAGGAATGTTTCTGGGTAGGACAAAGAAGACTACAACAATTTCCAGACAAACAGGGTTGATGTAAAATGATGGCAATGGAAATCAAAGGAAACTGTGGGTGTGTGGGATGAAATGATGATGTTTAAGGCAACTTCAAAATTTTAAGACTGAAAACTATTAATGTACTGAATAGTTTGCAGGAAAGTTTTGGGGCATGTATCCATCAGACAATTTGATTTTGTGTGCCAGTAGGAGATCTATGTTGAAATACTCAGAAAGAGAGAGAACTTAGGGTGAGGGAGCAAGTCAGAAATAGAAATAAGCACCAGAATTCTTCCAGGCAGTTTCATTATAACAGAAGTCACCATTAGGTTGTTTGAAAGTCAGGGCAAGCCATAGTGTGCTTCATTCATCTGTATAGTGGCAGGTTTCTTCTTGGTTTTGTTTTTTGTTTTTAAAGATTTTTATTTATGCACACAGAACTGAGGTACAGGCCAGAGGTTCAGGGACAGTGAAAGGATTCACCAGAGACAGAGTGGGGAGCAGAACAGGCTGACTGACGAAGTAAACTGCTGAAGGGAGCAGCAGGCAGGCCAGGAGAGGTCTGCTGCACCATGTGGGTCACCTCTAGGGCGGGGATCAAGCTCATGCTGAAGTGGCTTTACCTTAGTGCAGTGCTTTAACCGGCTGCACCACCAGGGAGGGCCCTGGTTTTGTTTTCAAGTAAACTGCTTGAGAAGGTTTTTAATTGGGAAATCTACCATAAAATTTGGATCTGGTTTATCTTCAGAAGTTGGAAGGCCTACCCACACTTTTGGGTCAGGATACCTTTGTAAGATTAGAGGCCCCATGTGGCCTTATCTGGTCTCTGTAAGGATTTGGATTTTAAATTGTGTCCTTAAATTTTCCACCATCTTTAGAAATTATCTTAGCTATTAACCAGTAGCATAAAAGTTGTTCTGTTTTGCTTACTTTTAATTTTTATAGGGCGAGGTCTATTTCTCTATGATAATTTACTGACTGTTGTCCGCATATTTAAAATATCTCCTTTGGCCATTTATAGTAAAAAACCCACATTTCTATACATGATTATAAGCATGTTGTATAATAGTCTTTTTATCAGTTGTACATATTTTTCAACTGGAAAATTAACTTTTTTTTTCTTTCTTTTGCACCCGTCACCCTGCACCTGGCCTGCGGGACCCATTAGCTGCTTACTCTTAAAAGTTTATGTACTCAGAAAGCTTATCATTGCTTAAATAATCCTCTAGTTTCTTTAAATGTGATATACTTTTATTTTTTGTTTTGTCTTGTTTTTGTTTATTTAAAGAATGGCTTTGTGTGACTCTTGGCTCTTAAAGAGAGCCTTACCACTTTTCCATCAGAAAAGCAACTGAGAGAATTGTGTGGTTCACAGCAAATGAGGCCAATATTAAGACATAGAGTAACTCCTATTTGAAAATTTAGGACATTAGAGAGGAAAAGAAAAAAAAAGATAATCTCTTTTTTTTATGGATAGCAAAAATTAAGAACCAAAAAGTATAAGTTACTTGCCCATGTTCACCTAATAACACCAAAAGGAAAAATGTCATTTATAAAAGTTTTATCACAGAGTAGATAAGAGATGACTTGTAATTTCCAAGTTACTTTGACAACACATTTTCTTTGCTCCTAGTGTCAAGTACTCATCCCTGGTGGCATTTGCCTTTGTAATTCGTCCCACAGCTTTGATTCCATGGATACCTTTGCTCTTCCAACATTTCTGGCAAGAACAGAGAAAGCTTGATCTTATTCTACATCAGTTCTTACCTATAGGGTAAGTATGGCTACAATTCAGCTACTAATTTGAATTGCCTGTAAATTCTGTATTATATAAGATTTCCTATCTTTTAGTCAGTTGTTGAATATTCTAATTTTAATTAAACTGTCAGACTAAGAATTTGTATTTTATATTTTCACACTTAATGATATTGTAAGTTTTAGTTGTAAATACTTGGAAATTTCTAATTTAGTACTTTCCTATATTTCCCAAATACTTATCAAATACATTTTGAAGATACTTAATTATTTTGTGTTTGTATTGGACTTTATACCTTATAATGTATATTCACACATTACCTCATCGTTTTTACAATTCTTGGATGTAGGCAATGTGTTACTTATATAGAGAAAATAAGTAGTTTGGAGAAATAAAAATGGTTGAAACCCAGGACTTGTAACTGCATTTCAAGCTCCTTTATCCTAAGTATCTAGCAAAACATACAAAAGATATTTGTGGATTAATGTACTCAGACTATTAGAGCAGTGATTGTTTTAATAGTAATTTATACAAGAATTTTTTAGTAGCAATTAAAACGGACTAAGTTATCTGGTTGTTAAGTGGCCATTGTTGTCACTATTCTCTTATTTATTAACATTGTTTTTACTGTATTAAATTCACTCGACATGTAATCCTAGCATGTTCCAGGGACTTTTCCAGATGCTGGCAATACAGCAATTTAACAACTTAACATTAACTCTACTTGATCATAAAGTCCCTACTTTCATGAAGTTTATATTCTAGTGAGAGAAGACAAATGAAAACATATGAGTAATATATATATATTGGTCTAGTAACACTTAGTGTTCAGGGGTAAATGAGAGATTGTGAATCTACTAATCCTAAACAGCCTATCCAACCTCCATTTTGTTATCTACAGTTCTGTACTCCTAAAGCAAGGTCAGGACTGCCCAGTCATAGGAACCCAATCTTACAAGGTGCCTTTCGTGCCAATTAAGAGCATAAAGCTAGATCACTCTAGGAAGGGTGTGCATCAAGAGATATGAACTAGAACATCCGCCTGGGGGGCTGTTGACTTATGTAGAACAAAGAACCCCAGAAGCTGATCAGTGGACCACCTTATTGATAAGATTGAGATCCAGACTGGGGTATCAGGACTTGATCTATATACCAATCTATCAGCAGATGAGAAATACAGTTCTACCCTTCCCCTGCTTCTTCTACTTCCCCCTGTCCTTTTCTGCTTCCCCAGATGACTAATGCTGTATGACTGGTTTATCAATAGAAGGGCCAGGATCTTGCTCTTGAGTAGCATCCTGCATTATGTAGCCTGCTCCACGAATCCTGTCTCTTTATCAGTGTGCTATTGCCCAACTCAACAAGAGGTAAGGGTAGAATGGAGTGTAGGGGGAAAGAGGTATTGTTTTTTTTTTATAGGGTAGACAAAAGCAACATGCAAAGCTGACATAGTAGCCAAACCTAAAGGAATTGGAAAAGCAATACTTGTAGATATTCCATGCAAGTTCTTAGACCATACTGCAGGATGTTTGGATATTTGGTATTGTCAAGAAACAGCAAGGAGACCAGTCTACTGAGCTTGGGAGAATGTGATGGTGACATCAGAGACAAGGACTGAAATCAGAGTCTCACACTAGTGAACAAAGACTTTTTACTCTCATCAGCAATATGGTCTTGTTTATTCATTTAACAAGAATTTTAATCTCCTTGGTATCAAGCATTTTGATGATTAAGATACAGCAACTGCTCCCAAAAGTCAGTCAGGGGTGGGAGGGTGAGGAGAGAGATAGTACTAGTTTTTGCCAGGCATGATAAAGTGTTCTAATATATGTGTTAATGAAAGGAGACTAAAGAGCCTAATTCAGTTTACAGAGGGTATTTGACTATAATAAGGCTTAAAGGTAGATGATGATTCAAATAACATCAAAAATGAATCTTTGCCAGGCATAGGAAATCAGTAATGCGTAAGGCTGGAAAGGCCTTACTCATTTAGATAAAAATGCTTATCTTCTTATTCTGAAGGAAAATATAGGAAAGGCTAAATGAGATAATAAATGGGAAAGTACTTTGAAATTGTACAGTATATAACAAATGTAATTCACAGTTGTATTTAGTCTTAAGAATATTCTGAGACTTTGGTGCGTAGAGTTGGCTCCATATTTAAACCATGTGACAGCTTGTTATGTACTGAGCACCTTTTAAAAATAACCAATTCCATATCTAGATATGCATATTTAGTGTCTCTAAATATAGAGAAAATTTTTGAATTTCTCTTAGGGAAATTTCTAATATATTTGGACCTATTTCCGTTTATCTTTGACATGACCTTAAGAATGTGGGACATTATTTTGTCAATCAGTTTATAAAGTCAAATTTAACTTAGTTGCTTTTCAGATACCACAATATTTCACCAATAAATAGCAAGGGGAAGTATGAAGTATGGGACATCATAGATATCACAAGTATTAAAATGACTAAGAGTATATTATAAACAACTTTTTGTTAATAAACTTGACAACTTAGAAAAATTGGACAAATTCCTAGAAAAGTACAATTTATCAAAACTGAGAAAATATGTAAAGTTGTGATGTAGAGGATGTACAGCTTTAAGCAAAGAAACTCCAGGTTCTGGTGACTTCAATGGAGAATTCTCTCATACATCAAAGGAAGAAGATACATTAACCCTTGCTAACTATTTCACAGAATAGGAAAAAAACATTTCTCTACCCTCTTTAAGGAAGACAGCAGATCCTTGATACCAAAATCTAATAAATTTATAAGAAAAATCAATTATAAACCAGTGTTTTTTATGAGTATGAATGTAAAAATCCCTAACAAGCCTTAGCAAGTTGAGTCTAATGATATTTAATAAAAAGAATACATCACATTCCAGGAAGGAGGTTACTAACACCTGAAAATCAATCAGTATGACTTGTAACATTAACAAATGAAGGAGGAAATAAAATGACTGTCTGTCTTAATGGACACAAAAGAAGTAAAACTATAAAGTTCAAAGCCCATTCATGATTGGAGGTGGTGGACCTCTCGAAAACTCAAAGTAGGAGTGTACTTCATTAGCATGACAAAGAAGTAACAGATACTTACAAAAAATTACTAGAAATCTGAGTTTATTAGAAACATTCTCTACAAAAATCTATTAGAAAAAGCTAATGAAGATCCAAATAAATTCTCTACAAAAATCTATTAGAAAAAGCTAATGAAGATCCAAATAAATGGAAGGATATGCCATTTCATGAATGGAAGACAGTATTTCAAAGATATCTGATCTCCCCAATATATATTCAATTTCGATTAAAATCTCAATATAGAATTTGTTATGTACTGGTAAGTGGAATATTTAAGACAAGTTAGAATTAGTGTACAGTAAAACAAATAGACTGATATACCACAACGGGGTCCAACAACAGATCCAAACACAAATGGCCACTTAAGATGTGCAGTCATTCTGCAGTATAGTAGAAAAAGGGCCCTTTTTTCAGTAAATACAGAACTATATAAATTTTCTCTCATATGGGAGAACAATTAGTTTGTCCTCAATTGCCATCCTAAGCCAAAAAAAAAGAAACCCAAAGAATTGTAGATCTTAATGCAAAGGTAAGAGTAGCACTTTTGCAAGAAGTGAGAGTATCTTCAGGACACCGAGGCAGGCCAATAAAACACAATACTATAAAGGAAAACATTGGTACAAGACTTTTGTTCATCATATTTACTATCAAGAAAGTGAAAAATGCAAACCACATATAAGAAGAGATTTGCAATACCAAAAAAAAAAAAAGACCTTACTACAGAACTTGTAAAAATCTACTAAGAAAACATACTTAATGGGCAATTAATAAAAAGACCTAAAAAAGTACTTTGATGGCGAATAAGTATAAAAGTATTCACCTCATTATCAAGAAAATATAAACAAAGTCACCATGACTTGCTACTATACATCTACTTAACCTGATTTAAAGGATACAAAATGCTGTATATTCCCAGGGGAATTTAATCCCATGCTGCTAATCCTGATGCAGTATGACAGTTACACAGCTGTGTTCATAAAATGTTAATTTTGAAAGATAAGTATAATTTTCTGTATGTATGGTTACAGTAGGCAGCCTCTGAAGTGGCCTCCTCTGAGCCCATTCTCTTAATATTCATAGCCTGTACAATTCCCTCGAGTGTCACCTGACTATATTGACTCAGTTCTAACAAATTATATATAACAGAGGGGATCACTTCTGTAATTGGGTTAAAAGAACTGTGGCTTTCCTTTTAGGTTTTCCTCTGTGCTTACTCTCTCACTCTCTTTCCCCACCACCACCATCATTGTAGGGAAACCAGTTACCATGTCATGAGTTTATCTCAAAAAGAGATGGCCCTGCCATAAACTATGTGAATGTGCTTGGAAGCAAATCTCCTCACCACCCCCAATAAAGCTTTCAGATGAAACATTAGCCCCCAAACACACAGAAACAGTGAGACATAAATGTTAATGGTTTTAAATTGCCATATTTTAGGGGTGATTTATTATGTAGCTAGATAATTACCTTCATTTACTTACATACAGATTCACATTAATGAAAGACCTTTCAAAATGTATAAATTCATATTTGGTTAGTGAAATTGTAAAAATACTTTTAAAAGTGACATTTAATACATGGCATTTGCAAAGTTATATGCCAGTATTGGATTTTTAGTAAATTCAGAGCATTAATCACCATTCTTTATTTTTTCAGATTTATCACTTTGAGTTTGTCTCTGATAATTGATCGTATTTTTTTTGGTCAAGTAAGTAACGATATATTAAACCATTAATAATTTAATCATTTATTACACTGAAACTTCAGCCTGACTCTTTAGTCTATGAATATTTGAGAACATAGGCAAATCATTCTATAAAAAATAAGATGGGATACATTAAAAAGATACTAGTATGTGTGTTGGTTCAACTTGTAATCTTTATATAATGGTATATGTCTAGTGGAAGTTCAAGAATCTGTTTTAAGGTATTTTTATCACGTTATAATATAATTAAGGTTAAATTTTTTTTAAGAACTGGGGTATAGGCCAGACGTAGTGGGGAGGGTGGTGAGAGAATTCAGGTAAGAGTGGGGAGCAGAACAGACAGATCGACTGAAATATACTGCTAAGGAGAGCAGCAGGTGAAACAGGAGAGGTCTGCTGTGCCATGTGGGTCGTCCATCTGGCCGGGCTGCTGTTGCACTTTAACCCTTTGTACCAGCAAGGAGGCTCCAAGGTTAAATTTTTTAATGACTTTAGTTGACTTAATCTTTCAGAATTTAAATTAACCAGAATACTTTGCATGCATTTGGTTTTAGATCTTAATATCATGACTATTTGGTTTCTATAATTCCCTGACAAAATCCTATCACTTCAGAATTTTAGAATCAGACTGCCACACTTCAAAGCCTACTGCCTTAGATAATAACTACATGATCAGACAAGTTATGTGTGTTTTTCTTACCATACATAGTTTCCCTTCCTGGAAATAGTGGTACCTGTCTCATAAGATTGAAGGATTAAATGTAAGCCACTTAGAAACAATGCCTAACACAAGCGAGAACTTTTTTAATATTAGTTTTTGTTGCTGTTACTATAAGTCTACATTGTGCTATAACTCAAATTATGTTTTTGAAGTTTTATCTTAATAAGTAATATGTGCTATTTTAAGGTATTAATTTAAAATTTTTAGTACAGGTAAACCACACTGTCATGAAAATTATTTTTAAGGATTCTTTAAGTGTATGTGAAACTTACATACTGTCAAAATATATATAAATCTTCATACTTTCTTGTGTGTCAAAGCATAGCATCTGAAAATCTAACTAAGAATACGCTGCTACTTTAAACAATAAAAAAACCTGAAACC